GTCTCTCAGTGAGGGGTTTTATTTCATCATGGCCTTTGAAGTTACAGTTATGCACTGCACATGTCCTTTCTTCATGCTGTTCTTTCTTTTGAGATTTTGGCCTCTCTTTCTTTGATGTCAAGGGAACTGATTTCAGAAAATGATTTCAGTTCTATCTTTTGAACATTCCATTCATTCTCTGAAGCATACTCGTATAAAGAAAATTGTACATTGCTAGTAAAACCAGACTTCAAATTTTTCACCTCTGTCTTCATTTAAATTAGCTTTAACTAACAAAATGTTTTTCAAGACACCTTTATCATGCCCATATGATCGATCTAAACTATATCAGAGACAAAAATACTCATGCCGCCTTTTTGACGTTTTTAAAATGACGCGCGGCAGTTTTGTATTTTTTCAATATATATAGCAATAGCAAGGGTCATAACTCCTTAACTCATTGTTATTTTGCACACAATCCTTCTCATTTTGAGCCTCAAACTTTGAGTCAAAGTGTGTACCTATCAGAAAACTATTGTATCAAGTTATAGAAGATTTGATGCAATGGAATTAATCATTTCTATAGATTTTGAGAAATCAGCCTTTGAATTTTCTTTTTTCCTCTTTGCACCTTGTAATTAATTAGCAAAAAATTTTTTTTTACAACACTTACATCACCTTATAATATTTGAGTTTTACATCATATGAAAGTACACATTTTTGGCTTCACAGAGAACCCCAAAATACAAATCAAGTATTTTCTTAATTTTTGGACAATCAAGGGCCGTAACTCTGTAGATTGCCAACATTTTGGTGCAAACTTTTTTTTGGGAAGTCCCTAGGTCCTTCCCTTTCAGAAAATTATGGTGGCGAAAAATCCCCAGGGGGGGGAGGTTCACTCCCAGTAGCCCATAGCCTATAAGGAAAATAATAAGAAATTATGCAAAAAATGATCAAATTTTGCCAAATTAATTGTACGGGGTGCATAAAACCATGGGGGCAGATTTGCTGCTGGGTTTGCTGAGATGAAAGGTTTCGAACTGATGATTACATGTGTACTCAAGGCTAAATCCTAAGATGATAGGCCAGACTTCTCTTTGACTAGGGCTAGCCGTCAAGGTGTTTAAACGGAGTTGAGTTACTGTGTTGCGTCATCTTTATGAACGAAATTTATGACGGACCTCGTCTGTCTGACGCAATCAGTCATGCACGGTGTTGTTGATGGTAGACGTAGGCCCCAGGCCAAGGCCTAGCCCTATTTTTATGGGGGCCCACGTGGCATTGTGATTGTGTGGCTGGTCCAAGGAGATTAAAAGTAGCCTGAGTAGTTCTAAACTCCTTGGGCTGGTCACAGGTTTAGAATGCAGACAAGGCCTAGAGAACTACAGCATGCAATCTCGAGAGTTTTAAAATCTAACAATAGTAAGTATCAAATTAAATGCATCAAAATAGCCTGTATATAGCCTATATAATTATATACGACAGTTGTTCCATGATATGCAGCGAGAGTTACATCTCTTCAATTTTTGTGTGTGTTAATTCTTTCTTCTAGATGGCGTCGGTGGCCTAAATCCTAATAGTGGTTAGGCTCTCGGACTCGCAACCGTAAGGTCGTGGGTTCGAATCCCGTCAGGGGCCCGACGTTGTGTCCTTGGCACTTTGCACAAATTTTCCTCACTTCACCCAGGCGGGAATAGGTACCCGGCTATAGACAGTGAACAATCTTGTCAGTTTGATAGTTTTGAGCGCGTGAAATCCCCAGCTTGCACTGTAAGCTTCCGCGGAAGCCGAGAATGTTTCTGAGTGTTCTCAAGGGGTCTGCTGGGGTAATAATAGTAATTAAAGCACATAGAGCTCTTGGGCAAGGAATTGCGGTATATAAATGCATTTATTATTATTATTATTATTATTATTATTATTATTATTATTATTATTATTATTGTTATTATAATCTACATTATATCTTTGTACTGTTTTTCGTATCCAGGATTGTTCCCGTCCGCTTTCTGGTGCCATCTTAACTCCCAGTTTCTAATTTCTTTCTGGTCTTCCTTTAGCCTAGATCGTTTTCATGATATAAATTGATGATCTCCATTCAGTGCACCTTACAATGTTTGTATCACTGTTATAATATAATATATGTTCATACCGCTGTGATCAGCCCATTTTCATTTTTGTTCAGTGAAAATGCGCTATGCATATATATGAGTCATGAGACTCGTAGGCATCAGCAGAGCGATACGATGAAATTACATGGGTACACATGCATCCCAAGGAGTTTACAGTAAGTTTTTAGTTCTAAACTCCTTGATGGATGCATCCCCTCAAATTTTGTAAAAACAAGAATAGATACTTTAAACGGCGTATTCGGTGAAAGTGAAAGTTTAAGACGCGTGACATGCAGTTAGTACCGGTAACCAGTATGTCATTTAATTCGTCACCTGGTCATCTCGTCACATCCCAATTATGTGGGACGAAATTACTTGTAATTTGTACCCCCCCCCCCCCCCCTCAGGAGAAAAAAAACAAAACAGCAAATTTTTTCCCCCCCCCCCCCCCCCCCCCCCCCCCTCAGAGAAAAAAAACAGCAAACCAACCCCAAACGCGCTCGCCCCCCCCCCCCCCCCCCAAATCACATGCAGATCCAAATTTTGTTTAAAAATGATTTTTGATTGCTTTCTATATAGGCATAGCCTGAATAATATAATCTAAATATGATAATATTAGATATTGGGCGAGTGTTTACCCACTTACCCACAACGCTAGGCCTATCTCAAGCCAAATAAGGCCAACAGAAAAGCATTTGGGAATTGTTCTTTCGTAGGCTTCGGCTTCAAGAGTAGCCTAGGCCTTCAATAAATAGCAGAGCCTACCTATACGATAATACTATGATATCCTCACCCCATTTTTAAACCCGACCACCAAACTACATAATTTGTACCTATACCTAACCCGAGTAATAGGTAAGGCTAGGCCTAGGCAGGCCTGTCCTTGGAGTAACTCCAAGGGCCTGTCACTGTCACGACCGTTTCTTTTCTTTTTGTCTTGTATGCCCTTTTTTTTTTAAAGGTTTACCTTACGCATTATTATAAAATAGTTATAGCCTATAGATTCTAGGCATAGATTATAAGCCAGTCCCCGTCGTTTTATGCAAGAAAAATTCTGAAATTATGCAAACTGAGCCCAAAAATGTGAAAATTTGCGATTCTGTAAATTTTTACAAAGAATGATAAAGAAAAATAATAATGAATTATGCAAAAAAAAAAAGAACAAATTTTGCTAAATTATGCGGGGTGCATAAAACCACGGGGACAGATAAGCCTAGACTTGTTGGCCTCTAGCCTATAAAAAACCAGGACTGTGCATCGTAAACAAAAGGGGAGTAACTGCGATGTGGCAAACAGAAACCTGAACTGCAAGTGCAAGCAAACTGCCGGGTGCGCAACCAGTTGCTGGAAGGGACACGCATTAGATAGATATCTATTTAGACTGGCTTCTTTCTTCCGAGTTCATACTTCACGGTTGTTCGCAACGCATCGTTTGATTTGGAGCAGTTTTTACTTTCAGGTAACTGTCAATCTAGAATCTAGATCTAGAAACTAGACTAAGTAAGATGATGAAGACCGAGGCCGAGTGCCATGGTGAAACAAACTGGTTACAGTACAAACACAGGTCTCTACCACTCAGAGAACAAGAGATGCTTCTGTTGCAAGTTCACATCAACGTCCATTGTTGTTACTTTGTTACAGATTAGAAAGGCTGTCTGATTAGAAATTAGAGGTAAACAAAACAGTGACCAGTCACATCACACACGATTTGTGCATGAGTTGTGGGTGGCTAACAAAGATAAAAGAATATATATTTTATTTGAATGCAAAACTGGTGACTACTGAATGACTGAATGTCGGGAATAAGGGTGGGGCCTTTAAGTTAGGTTGGCTCTATTTCTCCGAACGTTCGGGAAAATAAAATTGTACTTTATGGGGGGGTGGGGGGTGGGGGGTGGGGTCTGGGCGTGGAGGGATTTTTTTTACATGAAAGATTTTAGTTTTTGCTGGGTGACTACTATGCAAAATAGGTTACTAAACTGCTAAGGTAGAGCCGTCTTGTTTTCTCGCAGTGCCTTTTGAAGGTATTTTCAAAAGTATAGTCCGGGAACGTTGCCCCAACCACAACTGAAGTATCCGAATTCAGACATTTAAGAATCTCTAGATCTAGATCTAGCTCTAGAAATTAAATTCCATGCAAAAAATGCTTCCTCCCAGTCCTCGCAGAATGGCAGAATGAAAGGATGACGCCTGAATCTCGCAAATAACCCAAAATTCTCCAGATCAGAAACTACCGTTCGGAGAAACAGAGTTCAACTTTATTTTCCCGAGCAGTCGGAGAAATAGTCACTTCATATTTATTTGTTATGACCCATCAGGCTTCCCCCTCCAGCTGTTGAAAATGTTTTGTTAGAAAGGCTTACCCATTGGTCAACTTGGGTAAACATTCTTCACTGGAGGGACATTTTCTAACAGTTCAATAACGACAGGTGAAAGGGTTATGACGGCCCGTCCACAGTGTGAGGGGCCGATTTAAAATTCATGGCAAAGCGTCGGGCGATTCGAGGCCACACCTGGCCGTCTGAGGCAGGTAAATTTGACAGTGGGTTGAAAAAATATGGCCCCCCCGCAACCCTTTTTTCTTTTTTTGCCGTTTCATTCTTTTTTGTGTTCGGTAGTGCGTTGATTTGCGTTTTATCTTTAAACAGTCTCAGCAATTCTCGTTCCATAAATTTTACCCGTAGGCTGTCATTCTGTACCTCCTCTTTTCCTCCCCAAACAAAGTTGTACACTAGCACACACACACACACACACACAAACACACACACACACACACACTCACCCCGAGCAGTCGGCGATGAAACCAACCTCGCATCTCCTAGTGACGTAGCCTATCACGCGCTAAGTAGCAAAGTGAGCCAGCCACGGCACAGACAAAATTCCAAAGAGCAAAAGTGCAATATCTTGGTAGTAGAGAATCTTTGGCAATACGGCACGGAATTGCGTGCATAGCAAAGTATGATGATACCTTGCAAGCAATTGCGTGTGTGTATAGCAAAAAATGTATAGGCCTATAGTCACACCTAAAACTGATGCTTAGCACACTGGAAAAATCTAACAAAATGTGGCAGTTTGGCTTCCTGGTAGCCTATAAAAATATTTATATAATTTTTGCACTCACGCTGTGGCATCGATAGGCATAAATCATAAAAATAAAGGCATCAACATATTCTGATGTCTGACTGTATCGAGATTTTTTGTTTCATTGGTTGCTAACATTCATGAGGCTACTATGCTAGTCTTACACTATCCTTATAATGTGTCAAAGGCAGGACGATGTGTATCTGAAATAAGTCTTCAAAATTGTAAAATATATAATTGGAGATATCGCTCATTTGTATTCTATTCCCACTCAACAGCAAGACCAACGTAGGATGCTGATGTGCATCCCAATAATTTTCATCATGACAGAGTGACATGTTGTTCAATTACAAATTTCAGCTCAGCCATGTAAAGTTTAAAAGAAAAGCATTTTAAATTGAGGGGCAAATTTCAAAAGTAATAAATATTTCTTAGAATCATTAAATTATGTGTGTTACATTGAATGCTGCCTTTGGATAGCAGCATAGTTAGTTGTTGTATCAAGTTGATATTTTGTTGAGGTGGCACTGAGTCTGGTCTAATCAGATACAACATATAGGCTAGCATCAGGTCTTGTTCTGTATTGTGATTACAAATATTTATTGATTCAATAGCAGCTGGCAGAGTAGAGAGGGAATGACAAAGTAGCATCCAGATTTAGGGTTGGGGCTTTTTTTGTCAGTAGTGAAGACCTTCTTTTACAGGTTGGCAAAGAAGGTTATTATAGGCAACAAAAGTACATTCACTGCACTGCACATGAGCATGAATGAGAGGTACGGTACAAGAACCATTTTGTTTATTGGGAAACACACAAGTTAGATGTTGAAATCATCTGATAGTTTTTTTCTGTGTAAATTCTGCCCAGTTTCCTTTCTTTTTTTTTAACTTCATTTTTTATTATTTCACTTTAACAAGTGGTCCATTGATGTCTGGAGGGGTACTCTGTACTTGACATAAAAAAAAGTCAGTGATGAAATTTGGATTGTTTCCCATTGACGAGACTCACACCTTGTACCTGTACGATGAAGAAGACAGTCATTTGTGATTGCCACAGTTCTGTCAATATGAAGCATTGAATTAGGTTGAAGCCCCAGTTGTCTGTTCTTTTATCCTTGTAGCCATGCATAAAAATAGGTGTGGTGTCCGTTTGAGGGCTCTGACTTATAATCTTGTTACGTTAATGGCCATGCATAGTCATTTCTTAGAGTTTTGAATCAGAAAAGAATATATATGCCTGACTCGGGCATTATTTCTTTTCAAATGACTAGATTCCAATGTTAATGCAGAATGTTGCAGTTGGCTTTCACTTTCATAAAAGGGCTGCTTTTGAAAGTTTTTTTTTGTGTGTGTTTTACCACACTCACAACTGCGTGCTAGGGTACCACACTAAACCACACCACATCACACCACTCCAAACGACATTGCACCATTGCAGTAGCATATTAAATTATACAATACCAGTCAACCAAGCATAGTTATCGGGTCACAGACCTGTTTGCAACTATCAAGACGCTAGGCATGTATGTAGTGTAGAGCAGTGTATTTGAGTTATAATGTGGTTTGAAATCTACAGTGCCCTGTTTGTTGAAAGGAGAGAAAATTGGTGATAAGAAACCAGTTTGTACCAGTTTGAGGAGACTTCAGATAACAGAGGTGCTCGAGGGTCACAAAGTTGTGTATGGAACTGACTATGTTAGAAGGGTGATAATGCAGAAAGGCATTTGTCAGCGAGCTCAATTTGGCTCCCATGCTGTTTGTCCTTTTGCTGGGTACTCTTCGTAATATGGTTGTCTCAGAAAAATGTCAGTCAAGGTTATGGTTTTTTAACCCTGAGCCAGATTTTATCAGCTTGTTCTAGCCAATGCTAAAACTAAAATCGTGTCCTGTCCAATCAAAACTCTCCTCGGTGGAGGTGTGTCACTCTTGCTTGTCTGGCAAGGTGTTTACTGTTACACTGACAGTAGTCGACGTCTGTGTTGTAGGAAGGTCCTGCAATTTGTTGTGCTTTTGGTGAGGTAATTTCTTTACAGATTTGTGAACATTTTTCATATTGTTCCTTTTCATTCATGCTTTTTTACAAATGGCAATTTGTATTTCAAAGTATACCTTTCCCTTACAAAGGCACCCACCACTGCAGATAGTTGGATGATATTCTTGTAGTGTTAGTGATAGAATCACAGTTGGGTTTGGGTTTTTTTTTGTGTTTCCTAAAACATTTCTTCCGTCCATCCCATCAGGGGACCCAATAGGGGAATCTTTGAAAAGATCTTTGTTGTTTCTTCTGGTGGCTGTTTGTGAAACTTCACAGAAAAAAACACAAGACAGAGAAAAACTGCAAAAAACATTTGCAATGCCTTACATAAATAATCATAAATAATTATTATTGTTTGCAAAGATACACACTTACTTAGTCTATCTTTTAAATTCAGAATGTGTTTAATATCAATATCATGTCATCATATTTGTAATGGTAATCCATATTTTGAAACAGCTATGTTCTTATGCTTTGTAACAAAACTATTGATTTTTAAGTTGGTGTAAGTATCACATTGATTTGTTTGTACCCTCTATGCAAAGAAACTTGGCCTGTAGTTGTATAGTCTTTCAGCATTTCCATAAATACATAGCTTACTTTTCAGCAGTTTAGAACCAGGTTGTAATGGAGATGTGTGTATCACAAGCCACATCTGCTTTACTTAGAAATGTATTATAATTTTAACCCTCTTGGGTTGGTGGATTGCTATTTCCTATGGTATAAGATATTGGTATCAGCTCCCAGCCATGAAGTCTGAATAATGACTCTATGGGCACTAAGAACAAAAAAATGAAGGAAAACTTCACCACTTCGTGCCCATACCTTCAACACTGTTGAGCAATATGAATAATTATAAAAATTGTTTTGCTGAGTTTACTGACAATGGTAATGTGAACATCATCGGAGGTTAGGTTGTTTCACCTTTCACCTTAGGAGAGGGAGGTGGAGGGGTAGAGAAAACACAAATGAGGTTCAGAAAAGCTGTTATGAGGATTGCTTGACATAATTTATTTTAACCTTATGATGCGTACTTGTTCGGCTGTCTTGTCACGTTATTCATTTGTATTCTCATGGCCCTTTCATAATGGGGTTAAAATGATCATAAACAGTTTTAGGTATCCATAATATAATATATTTCAGGAAAAAACAGAGAACTAAAAAAAATACTGTGATTATTATGCGTCTACTAATACACAGTTTGATTCTGTGCAGGGTGGTTTTAAGCTTGTCCTGAGGTCTCATTAACCCCCCCCCCCACACATCACACACACACCCCCCCACATCCCCCCACACACACACACTCACCTCGTACATAAACATAAAGGGTTAACAGATATGCTACACCTGCAGGCTGTCAACAGTTAAGTTGTTGATCTCTGGCTATGTGATGCGTTTCACTGTACTGTACATTCCTGAAAGTTTGAAGTGTCTTTCTCCCTCTATGCAGGTCTGTCGGGTCTCCTCCTTGCGTCCACTGCCTGCCTGTGTGTGTGTGTGTGCCATATATCGACACGTCCGTTGATTGATTGTGTTCACCGGTTGAGTAAATCTTCCGATACAGTTTTTACAAGTTGACGTGGTAACACAATTTTTTTTATGTCTGTAGTAACGCTTGGACACTACCCTTAAAAGGGTACTAATGTGTACTAAAATTGGTGTATATATTATTTAGATGCATGTTTGTTGTACTTTTTTCGTTTCATTGGAGTGAAAACCGTAATGTTCTCCTTGGACTAGCATTGTTTCCTAGTCTGTGTGATGCATATTGTTAATGGGATGTTAAGTCAAAATGAGTACACATTGACATACACTCATTTTACTATAGTACATAATTATGATTCATCTCCTTTTTTGTCATTGGTGCCTTTATTTTGGTACTAGAAATACTTGATTTTTGTCTCTTATTCATCAGCTCAGGCGCTATTCAATGTACTGCATTTAGATTTTCTCTAATATTTCTAAATGTGCAGACTTTCTGGTGCTTGCTTCAATTCTTTGTGTCAACAGTGGTATACTTGTGAGAAGAGAAGTATGCTTTGGGGAAATGGGAGAGGGGGGAGGGGGGGTTTGGTAATTTGTCTTTTTTCTGTCCTCTCTCG